CTGCTATGCGACAGAGCGCAATCGGGAACACCTGCTGGCGCAATCAGGAAATCCTGCGAAGGCTAGACTTGGAGCGGCCTTCGGAGGACCCGTACTTCGTAGGCTGTAGCCTATAATTGGGACACAGCTTTAATCTACAACAGGGGTGCCCAACCCTGTTCCTGATCAAACACACCTGAACCAACTAATTCGGATCTGAAGGAGCACTTGATAATTACAGACAGGTTTGTTTAATCGGGGTTGGAACTGAAGGAAGGTAGGATCTCCAGGAACAAGACGCACCCCTGATCTATAACAATACATCTGTTTCAGTGGTTCCCAACCCTGGTCCTGGAGGCATCCCAAGGGTGTATTCACACCAGGAAAATCCGCTAGTTCATCATGTAAAAGTTGATGTGTGCGAAAGTCTTATCTGTAGTACAGTGGTTCCAACCCTGGTCCTGGAGGCACCGCAACACTGCACATTTTGCGTGTCTCCTTAATCATACACACCTGATTCAGGTCATCAGCTCATTAGTCGAGACTCCAAGACCTAAAATTGGTGTGTCAGAGAAAGGAGACATGCAAATTGTGCAGTGTTGGGGGTCCTCCAGGACCAGGGTTGGGAAACACTGCTGTAGAACATCAATGTCCAAATACTGTCCATACTGTAGCTAAAGTTGACTGATAGCAAATGAATAATCCAACCTCTTGTAATGAAAACACACCCCAGCTCTCAAACACCAGACTCTTCCTAGCCAGGAACAGTCAAAAATAGTCCAGACTATGGTCTCACGTCAAAAAGAACTTTAAATCCATATTCAAACTGGACCATGATGTGATAACCTCACCAAGAGTCCTTCTAAAATGCATACAAATATACAGTCTTAAACTCTTAGCATCAATCCAAACATAGGTCATTCATACATGTAACATCTCTGCAAAAAACATCTGCAATGTACACTTTGAAAAAAAAAACAACTCCTTACTTTAGACTGGGCTTGAAATGACACATTTCCCAACCAGGACACAGCACAATGTGCTCAGCAGGTGAGATATGCTGGCTACTGCTGCTTGTTATTGCTAACTCCCTCTACTACATGGCTTTACTTAAGGAAACCTAAAACACCCTAGCAACCCTAGTGGTAAGGAAGAAAACTGCCCACAAAATTCTTATTAACAGGCTCATGTCTGTTACACCTCAAATATGGCTCGTGAGATCCACTTTCCTGCAAAGTTTAGCTCCAACTTTTATCAAACTCACCCAACTGTGATTTTCTAATGATCCTGAAGACATGTTCAGGTGTGTTTGATTAAGGTTAGAACTAAACTCTGCAGGAAAGTGGATCTTGCGAACCAGATTTGAGGATCTCATGACTGGCACTGATAGTTCAGGCTGGTTCATCGCTGGGGTGGGGGCTGCAGCTGGCACTCTGTTTTCCTCCTCACTCTCGTAGATGGTGATGTTGTGGAGGAGTACCCATGTATGTGCGTTCTCCCATTTCAGGATTTAAGGTTGTCCGGAAAAGGTGTGTAACTCAAATCAGTAACCAAGGCAACAAACAAGGAAATCAGATAGGGAGGCAGGGAAGCAAAAAATAAAAAAATAAAAAAACAAACTAAAATAATCCTGATAGTAGGGAACAAGGCACTTCATAGCTTGCCATACTCCTCAGTCCTGCTTTATTTCCTTAATTGGAAATCTGAGGGTGATGGCACGAGTGTGTCCTTTTGAGGTGTATGTGATGTAGCGCCTCAGTGGACGGTGCAAGCACCATCAGTCAATGATTTGGCATACTTCTACATGGGCTTCAGACAGGGCCATCCTTAGCTGACACGGGCCTGGAGCCATGTAGGGAAAGGGTGGTGGGTTTGGGTTTCCCCCTCTGTCTGTTCGTCATGGGGGCCCCTTCAAAGCGCGGGGCCTGGTGCAACCGCACCAGTTGCACCACCCAAAGGACGGCCCTGGTTTCAGAAAATTGTCACACCCAGAGAGCAGTGTTGGGGGAAGTTACTTTTAAAAGTAATCCATTACAATATTGCGTTACTTCCTAAAAAAAGTAACTAATTACGGTACTTAGTTACTTTTTATTGAAAGTAATGCGTTGCGTTACTTTTGCGTTACTTTTCAAATCTGGGCTGGGCTTGCTTGTTTGCTTTTAATATAAAAAGTTCTATTTTTGGCAAATGTAAAAGCCCTTTCACACCAAGAGCCTCAGGCTGAAGGGAATGCAAATGCACGTCTGTACAGTAGAACACAGAAGAAGAAAGTTCAACACTCTTCAGCAATAAAAAAAGAAGAAGAATATTAGTTTATCTTGTGTATTTTTTGCTTATTAGTATGGTTGAATTGGATCACTGAAGGTCAGCAGCAAATAAATGGGATTAAATACATAAAGGATGTTTGTATTATTTAACATATGTAATTATTGCAGCTTTAAGTCATATTCTGAGTTGCTTTTAACCGTTTTTATTAATTCTGAGGAAAACTAAATCTGATTTGTTTTTTGTGAGTGAGTGAGATGAATTAATGCGTGTTCACATTTATTCTAGAACTAAAGTAACATCTTACTCCCGATTTCTCGCAGAGCTTTCAATCAATAAATGGGGGGGAAAAAGTAACTGGCGTTACTTATTTGAAAAAGTAACTCAGATATTCTCTTGTAAATTAAAAAGTAATGCGTTACTTTACTAGTTACTTGAAAAAAGTAATCTGATTACGTAACTCGCGTTACTTGTAATGCGTTACCCCCAACACTGCCAGAGAGTGTCTCCATAGTGTCAGTTACTGACACAGCATCTCGTTCCCTACTCTGGGAACCAAAGAAACATACATAACCATGATGTTTTGCACCAGACACCAGTGTTAGGGGTAACGTATTACAAGTAATGTGAGTTACGTAATCGGATTACTTTTTAAGTAACACATTACTTTTTAATTTAGAATGAAATATCTGAGTTACTTTTTCAATTAAGTAACTCCAGTTCCTTTGTTTTCCATGTATTGACTGACGGCTCTCGTGTTGCCATGTTGAGAGAAATCAGGAGTAAGTGCAGAGGCGTTGTGTGCGCTGTGTGAACATGATGATACTGTAGATCTAGACTAAATATGAACATGTATTTACTCATCTCATCCACACAAAAACAGATTTAGCATTCCTCAAAATGAATAAAAACAGTCGAATGCAAACTCAGAATATTATACAAACCTGCAAATATAATTTTTGTTTTTAATCCCATTTTATTACTCAGTGTCTTTGTGTCCCAAATCCGGTCCGTGGGCTTCAGGCCGATTGCCACTAGAGGTTATTCTCCCATTACATTGACTCTTACACCACACAGACTGTTACACATCACCCTGGACTGCATTTCCCATCAACCATTGCACTGATTACACGCACTCAGCTGAATGCACTGATCACACACACACACACACAGCTGAATCCAATCAGACATGCTACTTAAACCATGGACTTCCTCTCTCTCTCTGCCGAGTATTGTTCTGCATTTTTCACTCCCCAAGTGTTAGGTGCCTTACTGAGCCATTCCGTGTTTTCTGTTTTAGTCTCGTGTATTGTTTTGCGTGTATCCCTGTTTAGCGGATAGCTACCTTACCGAGCCTGTTTAAGTTTTCATAGTTTTCTTAGTCTAGTCTTAGTCTTGCCTTGTCTGTTTTCCTGGTCTCTGATTCACGCCACGTCTCTTGGATTAACCCTTTGCTTGCTGTTTCTGACTCTGTTTGCCCCTGCTTGGACCTTTGCCTTCTACCTGGATTTATCTCTTGCCTTGCCTTCGATATACCCGTTTGCCATTGTCTGACCCATGCCTGTTAAAACCACGTCTCTTAATAAATGCTTGCACATGGATCCTCATGCCTCCCGTCTCGTCGGTCCCGTTACACTTTGCTACTGACCTTCAATGATCCATTCCAATTCAACCATACTAATAAGCAAAAATGACACATTTGTGTTTCATTTTTTTCAGCCATTTGTATCTGCAGTCTCGTTATTTCAGGTCACCACGCAAAGCATATGACCATAGGTGATGTCGTCATAAGTTATGACGCAACTGAGAATCATATATAGCCTATACATATATGTGAGTATCGAATAATACATACAGTAAATATAGTAATGAAGTGTCATCACTTTACACCACTGATATTGTACTCCACGGTACTTACATTTTACTGAACCTGGAACATTCCTTTAATTCAGATCTTTTATTTATTTATTTATTTATATTTATTTATTTTTGCTTTCAAACAATCAGCCTTTGGCTATAAGTGCACTTTTACACAATCACTGCTTTTTTAAATCAGAAGATAGAAATGCATGAAACCATAAAAAACAATCATGGTTACATGTGCATGTAAAATCAATAGAAACACTGAAACAACAACAACATTGACACTTTTATTGAACTGAGATGGAACAACACAAACTAAGTTGAGATGAATAATGGCACTATTGTCTATAGTAGAGTTGCTTTACAGCTGAAATTGATTTTTTTATATAAATTATTATTTTTATCCTCTATGTATAATGTGCTATATAAAAAAATTAATTTACATTAAATAGTGTTGTTAATTAGAACATGTTCCTAGTTACTGTAATGAACAAGACATGTGGTTGCTCTGCTAGGATGCCTGTGTGAACTTGATATAACTCATTTCACATATCCACTAAAAATGACCAAAACATTTAAAAGGCAGTGCAAAAATGTCAGTGCAAAAATGTCTCAGAAAAGTGAAGTAAATCTCTAGCAGCGTTTGTTTAAAGATGCTAGAAAGAAACAAAAGGTTACTTTAGAAAACACATTCAGTAAGGTGACTTTTTCATGCAGATTTGTTATTTCGGTTTATGTGTGTCTGGCTCACAGGAACTGTGTGTTCTGGCCAGCTCTGACTTTCTGTACGAGACTGGCATCTAGTGGACATTTTAGGATGTGAGTTTACAGACTTACAGACACGCCTGTTTTTGCACACGTCTTTTAAACACAGAACCAGGAAACCCAGTTGAGTGAGTCTGATCTGCTGTTGTTTGTGTGTCTGTATTGCTGTAGACACAGTAAAATGGCTGAAGCCAGTGTTTTTTCAGTGGAGCAGTTCAGCTGTCCAGTGTGTCTGGATCTCCTGAAGGATCCAGTGGCCATTCCCTGTGGACACAGTTACTGTATGAGCTGCATTACAGACTGCTGGGATCAAGAGGATCAGAAGAGAGTCTACAGCTGCCCTCAGTGCAGACAGACCTTCAGTCCAAGACCTGCTTTAGCTAAAAACACCATGCTGGCTGAAGTGGTGGAGAAACTGAAGAAGACCAAACTAAAAGCTGCTGTTCCTGCTGGACCTGGAGACGTGGAGTGTGACATCTGTACTGGAAGAAAACACAAAGCCGTCAAGTCCTGTCTGGTGTGTCTGGAGTCTTACTGTCAAACTCACTTTGAGCGTCATGAGGAGTTTCGTTCAGGAAAGAGACACAAAGTGACTGATGCCACAGGACGACTGCAGCAGATGATCTGCCATCAACATGATATGCCTCTATTGGTTTTCTGTCGTACTGACCAGCAATGTGTTTGCATGCTGTGTGCAATGGATGAACATAAAAACCATGAGACTGTATCAACTGCAGCAGAGAGGACAGAGAAAGAGGTATGAACTGAAATTACACATGTAATGCTGACACTTCAAGTGTTTCTCTTCACTGCAGTATCCAGCTGTATCATGAGTGCATCATGTGATCTTCTCTCCCATTGGGAGTTACTACATGACGGCTCTGTGTATTTGAGCATGAGTTGAACTTTGCTCATTTTTGTAACATTGCTCAAGTTCTGTGCTCTAATCGAACATGCATCAGAGTTGCTGTTTTTGCTGCAAATTGCAGTCAGTTTGAATGTCCATGTCGGCTTCACATTAATTTATGATTACAGAAGCTGTAAAGAAGAAATGTTTTAATCAAACAGGCGCCTTTTTACATGACAATTTTGTGATAGCATTATGTAATTTGTCTCAGGTTTGCTGTTTTTAATTTCTCCTCTAGAAACACTTGAAGGAGACACAGAGTAAACTCCAGCAGAGAATCCAGCAGAGACAGAAAGATCTTGAGCAGCTGAGAGAGGCTGTGGAGTCTCATAAGGTGAGTTTGGAGAAGAAGAGAAGTTTGACTCTCCTCTTTCAGTCCCACTGAAGCCGCTGTGAGGAAGCAGTAAGAGCTGATTGTGATGTGTGTCTAACAGCGCTCTGCACAGACAGCAGTGGAGGACAGTGAGAGGATCTTTACTGAGCTCATCCGCTCCATTGAGAGAAGCCGCTCTGAGGTGACACAGCGGATCAGAGATCAGGAAAAGACTGCAGTGAGTCGAGCTGAAGGACAAATGGAGCGACTGGAGCAGGAGATTGAAGATCTGAAGAAGAGAAACTCTGAGCTGGAGCAGCTTTCACAGACAGACGATCACATACATTTCCTGCAGGTAACAGATCTAGAAAAAAAACACAAAAAAACCCACAGTAGACTTTAGCTAGATCTGCTGTTACAGGGACTAAATATACTGAGCCTTTAATAAACTGACATTTATTATTTGATCCACACTGATCGACTGATTGAATATTCTGCTAATGGGAATGATGTCAGAAATGTTTTCTAGTGATGTTGTGGTTTTTACTATAACACTGGTTTCACTCAGGTACACTGCAGCAGTCAGGTGACCTGTTGAAACATGGTAATAATAGAGACCATTATGCATTATATGACTGTTTTATTTGCCCAATAAATCATTAGAATCATAATCTTAATTATGTTCAACCCTCTAATAATAATAATACCTTTTATTTATAGGCGCCTTTCAGGACACTGTACAAAGTAAAACAAAGCAATAAAAAACATACAAGAAGCAAACACTATAACAATACACTAAACAAGCAGATCATTAAAAGCTATTCTAAACAAATACGTTTTGATCTGAGCTTTAAAATGGGAAACTGAATCCAGCTGGCGAATGTGCAAAGGTCAAGAGTTCCATAACTTTGGTGCTGCACAACTAAAAGCCCTACCACCAAAGGAACTCATCTTGAAGTTTAGAACAGACAATAAGTCTGCAGAAGATGATCTCAAAGCACAAAGGAGTATACAAATGAAGAAGATCAGAAAGATAATTAGGTGCCAAATTGTGAAGAGCTTTGTATGCAAGAAGTAAGATTTTATAATGTACACGATAATGATCAGGAAGCCAATGCAGCTGGAAAAAGAATTGGAGATATATGATCAAAAGTACGTGAGCGGGTAACTATCCTAGCTGCTGAATTCTGGATTAGCTGTAATCGATTAAGTTGTTTTTCAGGAATACCAAATAAAAGATAATTACAATAATCAATCCGAGATGTAACCAATGCATGGATAAGCACTTCAGTTCTATGTTGGGAAAGTGTTGCGTGTTGCGAGGATGGAAAAATGCAGAACGTGAAATATTACTAATATGAAGACCAAACAAACGCAAACCATCCAGTATAACCCCAAGACTTTTCGCCTGGGTAGAAAACTTGACTGGGCAATTATCAATAACCAAGGTAACGGATTGAGTTTTAGATAAAACAGACCTAGAACCCATAAAGAGGGCTTCAATTTTATTGGTATTAACTTAGTGAGCTCTGGTGCCCTTCGATAAATTTTGCCAGAAAAAGTTTACTTATTTACTTCATCGAAATGGTACAACGCATATAAAAGTTTTGACACTTACTGCACAATTACTATTACTTAGCCTTACACTTAGTATACACTTACTAAAAAAAAACAACAAAAAAAAAACAGTCAGACTTGTACCCGTCACGGACAAGATGAACTTGTAGATGGAAACAAATGGGAAACTAATTTCATCTGAGGAAACATTTGGCACTGCACCCAAACAGCATTTGAAGGTCATTTATTAAGACATCAACCTCAAATTTGAAACATAACTAAGATGTTTAGATGTATGGCTTTTGTTTATGGTTTTAGAGTACCATGTTTTGGAAAATATGTATTTCACATAAAATCCGAAAGTAGTATTGTTGTAAAAAAAATTTAACAATAAAATCCTCTACTTTTTTTCCACTTCAGCAATAATCAGCCAAGTATCTTCTTTAAAAAGAGACCAAACTTAAGTGCTCCAAAGCATTTGAGATTGATGACAGTTTAAGTAAGAAATTTCATTTTCAGGTCTATGCTAATTACTGCCTAAATATAATTTATTAAAATCTAGCCCAACCTAAAAATCGTCTCAGGTTACTTATGTAACCATGGTTCCCTGAGTAGGGAACGAGACACTGCGTCCTCTAGGGGTCGCTATGGGGAACGCCTCGTCGTGACCCGTGTCTGAAGCATACATTGAAAAAACACCAACTCGTTGGCCGGCGACAGCCATGACGTCACTATTGAAAGGAACTGTCTCAGTAGTGGCCACACCCTGTTAAAGTAGGTATCCTAGGATACCTAAGTGGAGTGGTGCCCAAGGTGAACTGGGCTTAAACCAGCTCAAGAAAGGGCACGAAGCAACCGCACAAAGCCCTCACCGTACAGGATTTTAGAAAAGAACGCAAAGAACTAGCGTGCGAACTTACCACAAGTGGATTTTAGAAAGTGCACAAAACCTTCACGTGCACACTTACCATAACATGGATTTTAGGATACCGTTCTAAGGGGGCTCTCGTGGTACTCTGAAAGAGCAGCTCATAGATGGAATGGTACATACCAAACCCAATATGTTTGAGAGTCACCAACTCAATCTAAGATATAAAGCTGGAATGGCTAGCAGTAAATCT